CCCAACAAAAGAGCCCCCAAACTTTTATTAGCTGCTAATCCCCATATTACACCCCCCCCAAACTACATCATGGTTACATCATGAAAGGGGAGGTCTGGTGGCAGTAATGTGAGTATCCTGGACCCTGCCCCATGGTTCTCCTTGCCCTCCACCAAACACCCATCAAGTGTAACAAAAGAGATCTTTACATTTCCCAGTTTCCCAGCCAAGTTCATCCCACCATTTTGTCTTCATCTGGGTTTGTTATTTCTGGAACGGCTACCGGTCTGGCACTCAGGTATCAGGAATTATCACTCAGGCAGAGGGGCTGCTGAGCTCTCATGTCTATATGAATTTCTGAAGTTTTCCCAGTGAGCCAGTACCTAGATACATTGATCAGTGAATTGTTACATTTGGCATTGTGCAGCAAAGGCCCTTTGAATAGATAGGAAGAAACTGTGATGAAGTGTTTTGTGGGGACAAGTCACAAAAGTGATTGTGCTGATTTTGGTAGTGGGCTGCATGTGCATGATATCTGCTGGAGGGGCAAACCCCCCAAACCTATGCATAAATTCCTGCAACAAGTGCCATGTGGTTGCCCCTTCTCCTCTGCCATGCTTCTTGTGGGGGGCGGGGGTGGGGAGAGACGCTGTGGGCTGCCTCTCTTGCTCCCAGGTGCTTCGTTGACCTGGCGCAATGTGGCCCGTGGCTTTCCCTGTGGGGGGTCCCAAGTAGCTGTCACTGACGTCTCCCAAGTTCTGGGTCGGCCAACGCCAGCCTTGTGACCCTGGGCTGGGCAGCTCCCAAGGACAGCCCAGCTGGCAAGGCCACCCTGAGCCCGTTTGTGTCATGAGCACTGCCAGCCCCGCTGTCCAGAGTGGGGGAACCGAGAGGGGTAACCGAGGCCCTCTTTCCAAGCAGCCAGCCAAGCAGCGGCAGACGCGCGAGGGCGCTCAGGGCCTCAGTCGGAAGCAGCCTCCAGCATCTCTGGCCTCAGCCTGCAGGAGGCCCAGCAGATCCTCAACGTCTGCAAGCTCAACCCAGAGGACATTCAGAAGGTAAATACCAACTTTTAAGGCTTGTTGGGGAGAGTACAAGGCTCATTCCTTGGTGATTGAGACCCACAATTCTGTTTTTAGAGCTTTTGTATAGGGATACAGGAAACTGTTCTACTGCAATGCGCTCTACGTAGGGCTACCTTTGAAGGTGATCCGGAAACTACAATTAATCCACAATGTGGCAGCTAGATTGGTGACTGGGAGTGGCCACCAGGACCATATAACACCGGTCCTGAAAGACCTACACTGGCTCCCAGTACGTTTCCAAGCACAATTCAAAGTGTTGGTGTTGACCTTGAAAGCCCTAAACGGCCTCAGTCCTGTATACCTGAAGGAGCGTCTCCACCCTCATCATCCAGCCCGGACACTGAGGTCCAGCTCCGAGTGCCTTCTGGAGGTTCCCTCCCTGCGAGAAGTGAAGTTACAGGGAACCAGGCAGAGGGCCTTCTCAGTGGTGGCACCCGCCCTGTGGAACACCCTCTTGTCAGATGTCAAGGAAATAAACAACTATCTGACTCTTAGAAGACATCTGAAGGCAGCCCTGTTTAGGGAAGTTTTTGATGTTTGATTGCTTTATTATTAATAATAATTCTGTTTGGAGCTGCCCTGAGTGGCTGGGGAAACCCAGCCAGATGGGCAGGGTATAAAGAATAAATAATAGTAGTAGTAATAATAATAATAATAATAATAATTTATACCAAGTCAGATCATTGGTCCACCGAGCTCAGAGTCAGTAGAGCATGAGACAGATTTTAATCTCAGGGTTGTTTGAGCACCACATTGAGCAGAAAGATTCCTGCACCGCAAGGGGTTTCGGCTCCCAACTCTACAATTCTATGAATCTGTCCCACTGACAGGCCACAGCGGCTCTCCAGGATTTCAGGCCGGAGTCTCTCCCAGCCCGACCTGGAGATGCCAGTGAGATTGAACCAGGGACCTTGCAGCCTTCTCCCATGTGGGCATTCGTGTTCCTTTGGGTCCCCTGGTCCCTGTGGAAACCTCACGAGGCACATTGGGAAGCAGGATTTCTCATAGGGCTAGAACTTAGTGGCTGATCCCAAAGCTGAGTCTCTTCACAACTGAGCCATGCAGCCTTCCTGCAGATGTTGCTTGTTTATTCCTTGGATTTATATCCCAGCATTTTTATTCCAAGGAGCTAGAGGTGGCCTGCATGGTTCTCCCCTCCCCCCCCCCTATTTAATCCACGCACCAACCCTGTGAGGTGGCTTGGGCTGAGAGGCAGTAGCCCAGTCACCCAGGGAGCTTCCGTGGCCAGAATGGGGATTCGGACCATGGTCTCCCAGGTCCCTGCCTGACACTCTTAAGCCCTACTCCACCCCTGGCCAGGATGGCTGCAACTGATGGGAGCCCAAGTCCAGCAACATCAAGAAGGGCTGTGGATCAGTGGAACTCCCTGCCACAAGTCACCCCCATGGCTTAGGTAGCTTCAAAAGATATTAATTAAAACTCACAGAGGAGGAAATGGCCACCCGTGCTTATTAGCCATGACAGTTAAATGGTACCTCCACCTGCAGAGACCAGGGGGTGGAGTGTATGGTGGGGGCAGGGGGTCGTCTTTGTGGGCTCCCTGGAGGCCTCTGGCCAGCCAGCGAGGGGAGCAGAACGCTGGCCCTTTCCTTCCAGTCCAGCTGGGCTGCTCTCCTACTTCCCTTGGTCCACTGTTTTTCCCAGAGCGTGGCAGGGACGGGGCAATTAATCGTGCCGCTGGGCAGTTTGGTCATGCGCGTATTGTTTGCTTTTCCTTGGCAGAACTACGAGCATTTATTCAAGGTGAACGACAAATCCGTGGGGGGTTCTTTCTACCTGCAGTCCAAGGTGAGTTGGGGAGGTGGAACTGTGCTCGTGCCCCCTCCCCCCAGGAAGCCACAGGAAACTGCTCCTTCCCCTCACACTTAGAAGTTTGTATATATTTCTATTAATGATTATTATTTTTAAAGATTGTGATTTCCCCCTATGTTTTTAGCTGTTCTTGTTTTATCTGTTAGCTGCCACGAGTCCCTGTCAGGGATTATCATCATCTATAATAATACAATAAGATTGTGCTTTCAGGGCTGGCAGTCCCTTCGGTGGAGGGGATACAATTAAGAGGCTTTCCTCCCTTTCTTGTAGCTTATTGGCAAGCTGAGCATCATTTTCAGAGATCCAAACTTACCCAAAATACATAAAATGCAGTGTGTCCTAAGTGTCAGCCTGAGCGACCTGTGCCCACTTCCTTCTAGCCAAGCCCCTCATTTCCTTGGGGTTCCCAGAGATCAAAGAGGCCCCAAAGCCGGGATTTCCTCCTCCACCCCTTTTCCTTGCTTGCTCCTGAGCTGTTTTCAAAGCCCTCTGGCGGATGCCCTTGGCACAGCCGCTGCCCTCGCCCTCTGTGTGTGTTGGCCTCCTGCCGTCTTTTTGGAGCAGCAGCAGCAGCTTCTGAGTGCCAAGTCTGTGCCCTGCAGGTGGTGAGAGCCAAGGAGCGCCTGGACGAAGAGCTGCGGATCCAGTCGCAGCAGCGGCGAGAACAAGACGCAGAGCGCAAGCCAGACACGTAGCAGAGCCCACTCCCACCGGCCTCCCCCTCTAAAGTATAGCTAGCCAATAAATTGCCCTTGTGTAGCTTGCTGCTCTTGGCCTCGCAGTCTGTTGCCAGGGGGTGACTGGGGGGTGCAGAATGCAGCACCAGGGTGGGACCCACGGCAGGGGCTGGAGTGCCCCTCCTTCCCAGGAGTGGCTTCTCTGGCCAAGCAACAAACCTGCAATCTGCTTCCCAAAGCTTTCAGAGACGCATTTGCCCAGACAGCCTGTTGCTCTATGAGGAGTAGCCAGGCCTGTTGACTGACTGCAGTCGTCACCCGACTGCTAAGTCAGGGGCCCCCAAACAGGCCCAAGGGACTCTTTTATCCAGCCCGCGGCAGCCCCCACCGCCCGCTCTTACCGGCGCTGCGCTGCACGGCTGCCCACTTCCGGGTCAGAGAAGCACCGGAAATAGCTGGTGCACGTGCGCAAGCGTTATTTCAGTGCACATCCAGGTCGGAGGAGGCCCGCACACATGCACACAAGCTATTTCTGGTGCCCCTCCGACGCAGAAGTGTGCCAGAAGTAGCGTGTGCACACTCGTATGGGCATGTGCTCCCTCACCCTCCAGCCCACTGCACAATCAGCCCGAGGCGCGGCAAGTTTGCTGACCCCTGTGCTAAGTTCTGCACTCGCTGCTGCGTCAGAAGCATGCTGAACAGCCTGTGGGAGCCTGCAGGCAATTCCTAGGCAGCTCATCCCAACGCCTCACTTCTCTCCCGCAACTCCTCGCAGGCAGAAGGCCCCAGGCTCCATCCCTGGCAGAACTGGGAAAGGGCCTCCTCCTGAAACCTTGGGCAGCTGCTGCCAGTTAGGGTTGACCGTGGAAGGGGAGCTCCAGTTTCAATCACACCTGGCCGCTGAGTGTTCTGCCTGGAACAGGTGGGTGCTGGGAGTCCGGGAGCTTTTGCAGGGGAGCACAGGCCCTTGTCCCTGATGCAGACAGTTCCCAGTTAGACGTGGCCAGGGCATGGCTTCCTTGTCAGGAAGCAGCTTCCCTGAGGGCGGCAGAGGCAGGACGCAGGAAGCCATGCGCTGCTCCAGGAGGCAGGATCTGCTGTACCTTCAGTGCCAGAGTTTTGGTTTGGCTGAGCATGCAGAGCCCAGCTCTCTGAGTGTGTTGCTGTGCATGAAGTGCGCATTTAATGGAGTGTGTTTGTGATACTGTGTGCAGACCAGGGTTTCCCAAATATGGGTCTCCGGTTGTTTTTGGACCACAGTTCCCATCATCCCTGACCACTTGTGCTGCTAGCCACGGATGATGGGAATTGTAGTCCCACAAATGCCGGAGACCCACGTTTAGTGTGTGTACAGACGTATATTTCGGTGTGGTTCCCGTCCTCCTGCCCCACCCTCCCCAGGAGACAGACAGCAGGCAGCGCCGGGCAAAGTGTCAAGATCCACTTTTATTATTTCCGTCATAGTAGCCATCCTCTTGTCGCAGAGGCCTGGGTCGTAGCTTATCTCTTCCTGTCGTCAACTATGCTAACAGTGATGGAGGCAAGAGGGGTGGGGCAAAATCCAACAGAAACTACAATCGAAAGGCACTTAGAAACGGCTTAAAATACTGGCGGCCTGGAGTGAGCGACAACAGACGACGGGGAAGGAAACGGACACGTTCACCGGCTCACAGGCCTGGTCAGTCAGCAAGGCGTGCTGGGTCAGGATCAGGCCCCGGGGCGCATGGGGCTCTGTGCATGTCCGGCCCTGTGCTCAGCCTTCTTCCACTGCGTGGCTGGGAGGCCAGCTCCCCACGGCTGAGCGGCAGGGTGTGGTCCCAGGCGCCCCGGGCAGCGCTAGGGGGCCTGGTGCGGGGCCTCCCCCCTGCCAGCACCTGCAAGGGGGGGGGTGCGTCAGAGGAAGGGGCAGCAGCAGGCCCAGGGAGCCTGCCTGTGTGGAAGCCCAGAGCAGGGGTCCCGCTGAAACAGCGGCGTGGAGAGAGGTATGTGGGGACCCCCTTGTACGGGGAGACTGGAGCGAAAAGCAGAGGGACCCCTCCAAATTGGGGAGGGCAGTCAAGGTGAAGTGGGCTCCTTCAGCAAAGAAGCGGGCGCTTGAGGGGAGAAGCAGGGGGCCTTCCTGCTGCTGCTGGGACAGGCGGCAAGGGTCCCCCCCCATAAGAAACCAAGATGCACAAACGAGAATAAGTGTGGCTTTCACAGCTGCCCCAGTCAGGGGGCCGGAGCAGTGCCCCATTTGCAGTGGGTCCCTCCAGCCTCTACAGAAGACCCCCCTTCTGGCCCCGTGAGTCAGGCCCCTGCCCCAGCCTCAGCCAATGGGTGTGACTGGCAACCCCTCAAGTCTTGCTCCTCTTGGCTCTTTTGCCAATAGGACGGGTTTGTGCTGCTAATATTGGCCCCATCCCACTGCCAGATCCAATTGGGGACTGCTTGGCTTCCTGCCCCCCCCAACAAAGCAGGTATATTGTCTGAGCAATCCTTACAACACCCCGTTGGGTGGGACAGTTTGACGACAGACCCATTCTGCAGGTGGAGACAGGGGCATTAAAGGACTGGGCAGCCTTTGCTGGAGGTGAGATGCAGTCTCCATCTCTCCTGGCCTCTGCTCCTCTCCCCTGCATTGGTGCCCGGACGTGGGGAGGGGGTCCTGTTCCTCAGATCCTGGGGCCTTCCCAACCCCTCCTGTCTCCAAGGGAGGGAGGGGGGCTCCCTGGGGGCAAGCTGTGTCTCCAGAGGGCATTTCCTGGAGGAAGCACAAACCAGCCAACCTCCCTGCTCCTTCTGGGCCCCATCTATCAACACGGATCTTGGCCAGAGGAAACTGATGGGGGAGATGTCCTTGCCTGCTGGGGAGCTGGGGGGGGGGGTCTTGGGTGGGAGAAGAACCAAGGAAGGCTTGTCAGCTGCTGTCCCCACGCAAAGCCATCTCAGGCCGGGAGATTTGCAGGTCAGCTTTGAAACATCCGGAACGGCTAATAGGGGGAAGTGAATATTTCAGTTCCTCCACGTCAGTGAGGGTGGGGGAGGCAGAAGAAGGGCTGGTGAGCGGCACAGCCGTTGGGTGTGCCTTGTCAGTCGGGGGGTGGGGGGCTGAGCCAGGAAAAGACCTGGCTGCTTTTGTTCAGTAAGAGAGATGGAGGCAGCTCAACCCCGGGGGGGGGCAGCACCTCTAATCTCAGCTGAGGGGGGCTCTCCTTCCCTGAACAGCAGCCAATTGCTGGAAGCGGAAGACCCCCGAGCCAACAGGCACAGAGGGGAGGCCAGTAGACTGGGGGTGTGGAGGGGGTGGCAGCAGAGAAGCCGGCATGTCGGGGGGCGCTAAGAGGCGCTCTGGCATAAGATGGAGAGAGAAAGAGCCAGCGCCCTCCTTTTCTGTATGCAGAGGGCGAAGGCCCTGGTCCCGCTGAAGGGACCCCAAAGGGTCCTCTAGGCCAGTGTTCCCCAACCTTGGGCCTCCAGCTGTTTTTGGACTACAACTCCCATCATCCCTCGCTAGCAAGACCAGAGGTCAAGGATGATGGGAATTGTAGTCCAAAAACAGCTGGAGGCCCAAGGTTGGGGAACACTGCTCTAGGCCAACCCCGCAATGCCTGTGTGGAGGTAGCTGGGGGGGGCAGAAGGGGGGGTCACGGCTGCTGCTCCGGGAAATGCTGCTTATTGCTTTGTTCAGGAGAGCCAGGCTCCTCCGTCGTGGGTGTCCAGGAAGCCGGGGGATTGGCCAGCCCCAGCAGCCATAGCGGGGTGGGGGGGGAGATGGGGTGTGTGTGAGTCTGGTGGGTGGGGGAAGAGAGGGGGGCACCTTTCGGCGGCAGGTCTTCCAGAGCTGCCTGGGGTCCTCCGCTGGCCACGGCTGGTCCCAGATTCCCCCCATCCCCCGTCCTTGGTGTGGGTCGCCACCCCCCTTCAGTTCACCACGGCTTGCTTCAGCAACACGGAGCCTGTGGGGATGACCACCCAACCGGGGGGCAGGCCGTCCGAGCTGCCCGCCGAGTTCATGCCGGTGGAGAGGTCTAGGGCGCCCCCCGCAGGCAGCAGCGAGAGGCCCTCTGCGCCCCCCCGGCCCCGCTCAGTCCTCCCGCTGGCTTCCTTGCAGCTCTGCGGCGGCCCCTGCCCGCCCCCGCCACCTTTGCCGGGCCGGGCCACGCTCCTCTCGGGCAGGGCCTTGGCGGAGGCGGCCCCCGCCAGCAAGGAGACGACGGGCAGCCCCAGGCTGCTGGCAGCGAAGGGCGAGGCGAGGAGGGGGTTCTTGGCCAGGTTGAGGGGCGCCAGGACAGGGCTGTGGAGGCCGGCCAGCCCCCCGCAGGCCAGGGCGCTGAGGTCCAGTGGGGCGGGGGCCAGCGGGAGGGGCAGGCCGTGGCTGCCGAAGAGGGCAGCGGGGTTGGGGATGATGATCTGCGCCCCGTTGAGGTAAGGCACGTCCGCGGGGGCCGCCAGGGAGGGCTTGGAGGCCGGCTGCAGCTGCAGCAGCTCCTGCTGCTCGTGCGAGATGAAGTGGCCGTGCGCCTTGATGTGCTTGCGCAGGGAGCTGGGGTCTGTGTAGCGCTTGTGGCAGCCGGGCATCTTGCAGTAGTAGGGCTTGTCCACGTAGTGCGTGCGGGTGTGCTTGAAGCGGTCGCTCGAGTTGGAGTAGCGTTTGCTGCAGCCTTCGTAGGGGCAGATGTAGGGCTTCTCGCCTGCGGGGGGAGGAAGCGACATGTGAGATATTAAGGGAAAGGCTTCCCTGAAACCAGCAATCAAAATTTGCACCTCTTGAGAACAAGTGAAGGTGCCAGGATGGAGCCTGGCGACGCCACCGTTTTGTGCCCCCTTCATCCTTCAATAGATCACAAAGAGCTGGCCCAGAAGGCACTCTGGGCTTTCCAAACTGTGTGTCGTGACACGTTAGTGTGTTGGCTGCAGTGTGTAGGTGTGACACACTAACACTACCCACACTCCTCCCGGGGCTGGAAAGGGGTTAGTTTAACCTCTGATTTGCTAGTACTGTACAGTCAAACCTCAGGTGTCAAACGTAATCTGTCCCAGAAGCCTGTTCGACTTCCGAGACACGACTTCTGATTGGTTGCAAGAGCTTATTGTAGTCAACTGTTTGGGTTCCAAAAAAATCCGCATTTACTTCCGGGTTTTTGGCGTTCGGGAGCCGAAATGTTTGAAAACGGAGCCATTCGAGAACCAAGGTTTGACTGTAAAACTGAATTGCTGCGTCGCGAAATGATGCACGTCTACAAAGCGTGTCACCAACATTCAAAGTCTGGAAATCTCTGCTCCAAACTGTGGCACACTCCAAACTATAGATGGCAGACTCTAGTTGACAGCCACCAGCATCTCAGATCCCCCCAGGGAAAGCGGGCAGGGAGACTTGGAAGTCAGAGCTTTAGGAACATAATTCTGCATTGCAGGAGGTTGGGCCAGATGGGGTCCCTCCCTGTGCCTCCCTTCTAGGATTCTATAGGAACATGAGAGTCGGGCTCTTCTCCCAGTGGCCACCCAGATCCCTGTGGGAAGCCAGCAATCAGGATTGGAGCACGAGAGCAGCTCTCCCCTCCTGTGGTTTCCAGCAACTGATATTCAGAAGCATCGTCGCTCCAGCTAATAGTCTTCCATAGCCCTCTCCTCCTCCATGAACTTTCCCAGTCTTCCTGGAAAGCTTTGTCGTCCGTCTGTCCCCTGCAAGGCAGCTGCTCTGCTCAGAAGGGACACCTGGACTCTGCCCGAGGGGCTTGCAAAAGTGTGCCCACCTCCCCGGCCTCAAGACTCACCTGTGTGGGAGCGGTTGTGGATCTTCAGGTTTTCCAGCCGAGAGAAGCTCTTGTTGCAGGTGGGGCAGCGGTGGGGCTTTTCATTGGTGTGCGTGCGGATGTGGATCAGCATCTTGTACCTGGGGAGGGAAGGAAGGAGCCCCTTCAAGATGGGGGAAGGAGGAGGAGAGCAGAGACTTCTTCCCAGAGTGCTTTCAACGGGCAAAGAATCTGCGGCTGCCATGGTCACCCCGGCTGTTGGCGCTGCAGACTGCTGGGGCGAGTCGAGAGCCAAACAAGGAGGGGAGGTTCCCCAGGCTCCCCACCCCCTGCTTGGCCACTCCTGAGGCTCTGTCTCCCTCCCCACAGCCAGGGGGCTGCTGGAGGGGAGGAGAGAGAGAGTGTCCTGTAAGCAGGAGGCCCCAAACCAAGGCAGCTTCCTCCTTTCTTTGGAAAGTTCCCAAAGGCTGTCCTGGAGGGAAGGGGCACCACTGGCAGCAGCCTGGCCCTGGGGATCCACCCTCCAAGAACCACAGGGTTAATAAAGGGCTTTCCACCCCCCACCCCCATGCCAACCAAAATGGGCAGCCTGACTTGCAAGTTCTTCCAAAGTCTCAAAGGGGAGCCTTGTACTCTGCACATGCCAAGCGGACTTGGGGAGCTCAAACACAAGGGATTTTGCTGCCCCTCCTCTTCTGAGTCACGGGTAGCCAACGTGGTGCCCATCTGTCAGCCTGCAGCTTGCACCTGTGGCCAGCAATGCCAGAAGCTGCCTGGATGTCTGCTCAGCACAGCTCTACGGGAGATGCTGCTCTCCGTCTCGCTCCTCCGCCTGCTGCGCATGGTCCCTGGGAAGCCTGCAAGCCCCTTGAGGGAGGGTCAGGGGTCTCTCCCACTCCCCAGATGCCTGGGCAGTGAGCAGTTGGCTTACCTGGCGTTGAAGCCCCTTCCGTGGCGAGCGCAGCCCTCCCAGTGGCAGCAGTAGCCGGCGTCCTTCTCGGGCTTCACGTGGAAGTCGTTGACGTGGTCCACGAGGTCTTGCAGCAGGTCAAAGGGCTGGTTGCACTGGAGAAGCAAAAAGCAGAGGAGGGAGGGGCTTCAGCCTCAGCAGAGACCAGCAGGGCCCTGGAGGGAGAGGCGCCCCCACCCCAAAGGCACTGCTCACCTTTGACCACCGGCACACCAGCTGCTTCTGCAGGGGCATCTCTGGGGAGAGGCGCTTCTCTTTGGGGGGCCCCAGGAAGGCTGAGGCAGGCAGGTGCAAGGCACCCCCCGAGTTGAGGGGCAGGAAGAACTGGAAGGAGCTGCGGAGGCCATCGATGTAGCGCAGGGACTGGAGGTCCTGGGGGGACGAGAGAGGGGGGTGGTGGTTGGAAAGGAACAGAAATGTGCCCTGCATTTTTCTGGCAATGCAGAGGACTTGATGGTCTGGCTCACAAAGCCTGGAAATGCTGGGATGGCGGACAATGGATTGAGGAGGAATCTTGACAAGACAGAAGTACTGTTTGGGGGACAGGAGGCGGGCAGGTGTGGAGGACTCCCTGGCCCTTAATGGGGCAACTGTGCACCTGAAGGACCAGGTGCGCAGCCTGGGAGTCATTTTGGACTCTCAGCTGTCCATGGAGGCGCAGGTCAGTTCTGTGTCCATGGCGGCTGTTTATCAACTCCATCTGGTGCACAGGCTGAGACTCTCCCAGCCGCAGACTGTCTCACCAGAGTGGTGCATGCTCTGGTTATCTCCCGCTTGGACTACTGCCATGCGCTGTACATGGGGGTACTTTTGAAGGTGACCCGGAAACTACAACTAATCCTGAATGCGGCAGCTAGACTGGTGACTGGGAGCGGCTGCCAAGACAATAGAACACTGGTCCTGAAAGACCTACATAGGCTCCCAGTACGTTTCCGAGCACAATTCAAAGTGTTGGTGCTGACCTTTAAAGCCCTAAACGGCCTTGGTCCTGTATACCTGAAGGAGCATCTCCACCCCCATTGTTCAGCCTAGACACTGAGGTCCAGCTCCGAGGGCCTTCTGGCAGTTCCCTCACTGTGAGAAGCCAAGTTCCAGGGAACCAGGCAGAGGGCCTTCTCTGTGTTGGCACCTGCCCTGTGCAATGCCCTTCCATCAGATGTCAAGGAAATAAACAACTATCTGAATTTTAGAAGACTTCTGAAGGCAGCCCTGTTTAGGGAAGTTTTTGATGTTTGATGTTTTATTTCTTTATTATTAATAATAATACAGTGGTACCTTGGGTTAAGAACTTAAACAAATTGATTGAAATACAACTTAAAAACACAATTAAAATACAACATTAAAACACAGCCTCGTTTCAATGGAAACTCAAATCAAAAACTTTTGGGGGGGATGAAAACGTCAAGTCTTCACCAAGGCTAACTATCCAGAATGGTCCTACATGGGCCAGAATAGGGGACACATTCCTTGCTCAGGACCCTGGGGCACAGCAACCTCCTCTGCCCCCAGCAACTCACCCGCACGGCGGAGGAGCTCACCAACTCCCCGCCGCTCTGCCTGTCGGGGGAGAGTGAGGCGCGGCCCCCGCCGGGGGAGTCCAAGCCGGGAGGAGGAGGCGGAGAGAGGCTCAGGTCGATGGTGGGGGTGGAGGAGAAGCGGGTGTCCCTCTTGTCGTGGCATTTGGGGTGCAACTGGAGGCCTGCAAAGGAGGGGGAGAGATGCAATGAAGAAGCTCCAACCTACATCTCCCCTGCCCCGCCCCAGTTCCACGACTCCAGCAGAGCCTCCCTTCGCATCCGTCCCCCACCCCTCGGCCACTCACCGTCAAGTGGAGAATGAGGCGAGTCGGGGCTGCTGTCCTCCCGGATCCGGAAGTCCTGGCGGAAGGATCGGGGCCTGGAGCCGCCCAGGGTCTGGTCGCCCTTGGCTTGTGCCGCCTGGAGCTTGGAGATGCTCAGCTTGAGGTCCAGTGGCTCCTCAAGGGAATGCATGGCGAGTGGCCAGGGAGAAGGCCACTCTTGTCAATTGGGGAGGGGGGAGGAGGATGTTTCGAGGGGCTCGTCAACCTGGTATATCAGAGAGAGAGAGGGGGGGGTAAGGAAAAGAAGGGGACATTTTACCATATGTGGTGGGATTGTAATGAAATTTTAAAAATTTGGGAAATGATATACAATGAATTGAAGAAAATGTTCCATCTAACATTTGCTAAGAAACCTGAAGCATTTCTGTTAGGGATTGTAGGGAAAGACCTGCCAAGGAAGTTGAAAAATATCTTCATGTGTGCGACAACGGCAGCAAGAGTCTTAATAGCGCAAGGATGGAAGAACGAGGAAACCCCGACTAAAGAACTATGGCAAGAGAAACTGATGGACTATGCAGAACTGGCAAAATTGACACACAAATTACGGGACAAGGATAACTGTGACTTTAAAGATGCATGCGAACCTTTTACAAAGTATTTAAAGAAGCAATAAAGTGAACTGGACTCCTTGGCAGGCTTTGAATAAACACTCACAAACTCTTTATTGATAATAACTAGCCAGATAAATTAAGGATTTATACAATTTTGTAACATGCAGAGAATAGCATCTATAGAGAAACCAGAGATTGGAACTGAGGGAAGTCGGGGGGGTGGGTTGTTTTATGGGTGGGGTGGGGTGGGGGGAAACTAAGGATGATGTGTTGTAAGCTAATATGTTGTATTTAAATTCCTAATATTAAAAGAGAGAGAGAGACAAGCTGGAGCAGCTGCACAACTCTGGAACAGGCCCTGCCCTGCGCCAGCAGTTGCACTACAGAATGGTCCCGCTGGGCATCAGGAAAGGAAATATGCAGATTGGACTCTCAGTGGAGGTTTTTAAAGCCCATTATGTGGAAGAAAAGCAATGACAAACCAAGCAGCATCTTAAAAAGCAGAGACATCACCTTGCTGACAAAGGTCCGTATAATTAAAGCTATGGTTTTCCCAGTAGTGATGTATGAAAGTGAGAGCTGGACCACAAAGAGGGCTGATCGCCGAAGAATTGATGCTTTTGAATTCTGGTGCTGGAGGAGACTCTTGAGAGTCCCATGGACTGCAAGAAGATCAAACCTCTCCATTCTTAAGGAAATCAGCCCTGAGTGCCCACTGGAAGGACAGATCCTGAAGCTGAGGCTCCAAGACTTTGGCCACCTCATGAGAAGAGAAGACTCCCTGGAAAAGACCCTGATGTAGGGAAAGATGGAGGGCACAAGGAGAAGGGGACGACAGAAGACGAGGTGGTGGGACAGTGTTCTTGAAGCTACCGAGTGCCTGGCGTGCTGTGGTCCATGACTAAAGAACAACCATGTGGGTTTGTGGCTCCCCAGAACTGGCCAGCAGGGGGCAGCAGCTGCTCCAGGAAAGGCTGGCAGAGGGCATCGGTCCCAGGGCGCTCCCCCCCCCCCCACCAGCCGGGAACAAAGTCGCTCTGCCCCTCCCCTCGAGGCTGGCAGATCAAAGAGTCACAAGGGAGGCTGCCTCCCTTGTCTTGCTCTGGGCCCCAAACTTCGCTTCTTCCTTCCCTCCCAGGTCTTAAAAAAATGTCTGCACAAAGACCTTGGCACAACCAGAGTGTTTCTGCCCCATGCGGGCACCAGGAGATGTGATGGGTGCCTCCTTCTGGTCTGGAGACCTCCTGCCAGCTGCTCACCTGGGCAGGGCAAGGGGGGGGGGACTTTCGCTCCAGATCCTGCCTGGGACTTTCAGCAGACACAGCCAGAGCCCACCCCCACTGGTAACCAGCCACGCAAATTGTTTACTGGTGAGGCAAGGCTGGGGGGGGGAGCCTTTCAGCCTCTCCCATCCAATTTCCTTGTAACAGTTTATCCACTCACACTTGCCGTCTCTTGGCATCAATATCCATTTCAATTAGAACCACAGTTTTCAAATTAAATAAGAAATGCTGCTCTCATGGGTGACAGGCAATGTGTGATTTGGGAGGGCGACAATTTTTAATCTCGCCGTTTTCATCGCAGTAGGACTTGTATAGCACTTATTTAGGAAAGTGTATCATTACACATGTGCAGAGTGCCACTATCTGCTCCTGGGGGGGATCAATTATTTTGTGGGAAATTGGGGGGGGGGAGAGATTGAAAAATTGGGAAACACATTTTCCAGCCCAATTTTTATGTGGTTCCCCACCCCCCAACAGGCCTTCACCTCTGTAGCCGCAGTTATGCTTTGGGGCTGGGTGGTGCAGAGGATATTGACAGAAATACCCTCTCTGTAAATTCATGGGAGTGTAAATTGTATGTGGGGCAGGAAAGGGTGTGGAAATTTGGGGAGGGGGGGTCTTTTCTTAAAAAAAAACGCTTGACATTCATATTGAGAGGAATACCCCAGTAGCCCTGGTGGAAGACTACTGCTTCATGAAGGCAAGTTATTTCCATTCAATTGAGGCTCCAATAAACACCCCAATTCCACAAATTCACATTAATGCCGTTTATCAAATAATCCGAGTTAGAAATAACGGTGTTGCCTTCAACATGGTGCTCAGGTGAATGCTCTGTGTTAGGGTGTTTCCCCTCCTTCTTGCACCCCCTAAGTCTGTGCTGGGTCCTGCTTGTGGGTCTCCCATTGAGGCACCCCATTGGCCATTGGCCTCATCCCTCTTGCAGGTTCTCCCCATGTCCTTCACCTGTGCTGGCTCTCCAGGTGTGAAGGCAGCTCCCATCGGCTCTGCTAAGAGATTATGCCCCACACCTGGGAGTGGGAGTCATGTTGGCACTCCCTACTTTGAAGGGGAGGGGGCTGCCTAAGGCCCGGATGTTGTTAGACCCCAACGTCCATCATCTTCATCACCATCTGACTCCCTGGGAGTCCAAACACGGGAGGTCCACACGTGCCTCCATCCCTGGCTTAGTCCAGGTGCTTCTACTGACACTTGTCCAGGAGACCTTCCTCACTGGGGACACAGGGCTAAAACCCATCTGGGATGCTGATGGGGGGCAGCGCACCCCACTTTCCATTGCTGCTGCCTCCTCTTTTAGCAAGGATGGAGGCTGCCCTGAAGGTCCCAGGAGCAGAATCTCCGAGAACATGGGTGGAAAGGGGGGCTTCAGGGTGGGATTTGTTTACGAGTCCTGGCAGTCAAGAGGGGGGGGCGTCTGCCTGCCAGTTCCCCCGCCCCTCCGTAGGCATCGGGGCCCCAATTCCACAGAAGTCACCAGCCCTCCTGCCTTCTCCAGCAGCTTGGAGAGAGGGACGCGCTTTTGGGGGACATCCACCCAGAGGGGAAAGGGAGTGAAGTAGCGGGCGGTGGCAAGAAGGAAGCCGCCCTCCAGATCCCCAAGATTTGACGGGCCCCGCCCCGCCCGTTCCTTGCCCGACGGCACAACCGGAGGAGAGGGAAGACTCAGCTCGGGCGGCTTGCTCAAGACCCGGCGCGCCGCATCTTCCTCGCCGCTCCTGGAACAAACTGAGCCCACGTCCAGGCCCCCCGCCCCGTCCAGAAGCCCCGCCTCACGGGGAGTTGGGTCAAGGCACTCTGCGTATGCTCATGGGCGCCCGCCTGCCTCGTCTTTCCCCTCCCGGAGGCACCTGGCCGCGGGGTCCCCACGCCCTGCGTGACCCCGAGCTGCCTCTGCCTCGACGGGGACTCCAGCCAAGCTCGCTGGCCCGGCTGCCAAGTGCCCTGCGACGGGTGGGCAGGGCTGCGGCTCGGTCTGTTTTCCTTCGACTCCGGCCCCGCCTGCCTCCCCAGGCAACCCGGGAACGCCCGGCTACTGCCCCTGCCAAGAGCGCATGAATGGAGGCGCAGGACGCGACGGGGCGCGCGGGCAACGAGTGCAAGGAAGCCAAGCGGTGATCGGAGGGTCGCTGAGGGTGGTGGGGCCGGGAGCCGGAGCCTTCCCCTCTCCGGCAAGCTCCAGGTGGCACCTGCTCCCTCGCCCACTCCCCCACCCCCGGCTGGCGGAGGCCGCCTCCTGCCCTCCCTGCCTGGTTGGCACCGGGCCACGGCAGGCGGCAGCGGCTCAGACGCGCAGGAATGCGGCAGCGCCTCCCGCGGAGCCGGAGTACTGGGGGGGGGCAGGCCCAGGCAGGAGCCCCCGCCGGGCCGACGCCTGCGAGGCAGAGGGGCCCCGACGGCCTCGGTATGCGGGGGCGGCCCACCCGCGCGCTGGGAGGTCCGAGGCGGCTGCATGAAAGCGCACCCTGTCCCCCCCTCCCCGGACTGTCCCCCCTCGAAACAAAAGAGCCGTCGGTGGCGGAGTCAGCATACTTCTGGGCTGAGACATTAATAATAATAATAATAATAATAATAATAATAATAATAATATACCGCCCTATACCCGGGGGTCTCAGAGTGCTTCACAAAATAAAATCAAAATATAAAACCACAAAAGACATAATCAAAATTAAAGCAACAGAATAACTCCCCCCCAGACACCACACTTTAAAATGGCACAGAATCTTAGAATTGTGATGGAAAGGATCCCAGAGGGTCATTTAGTCAAACTCCGCTATTATATGATTCTAAGAACTCCTTGGCTGAAGGAATCTCTGCTCAAGGGTCCCTGACAGGTGGCCGTCCAACAACAACAATAATAAATTTTATTTATACCCCGCCCTCCCCAGCCAGAGCCAGGCTCAGGGCAGCTAATCACAGTAAAAACATAATGGGGGGGAGACAATTTAAAATACAGTGGTACCTTGGGTTACATATGCTTCAGGTTACAGACGCTTCAGGTTACAGACTCCACTAACCCAGAAATAGTACCTCAGGTTAAGAACTTTGCTTCAGGATGAGAACAGAAATCATGCTATGGTGGTGCGGCAGCAGCAGGAGGCCCCATTAGCTAAAGTGGTACCTCAGGTTAAGAACAGTTTCAGGTTAAGAACGAACCTCCAGAACGAATTAAGTTCTTAACCCGAGGTACCACTGTATAAGTTAAAATGCAATTTAAAACGCAGCCTCATTTTACAAACCACCAAGGAAGGAGAGGTCATCACCTTCTGACATGAGAGAATCCTAGAATGGTAGCTGGAAGGGTTCTCCAAGAGTCATCTAGTCCACCCCCTGCAATGCGGGAATTTAAACTAAAG